GTTACCTAGCCGGGTAATGAAATGTTTGCAAGAAAACAGCCAAGCTCAGAGAACTCCAGGGACTCCACAGTTCAACACTGAGCTACACATGTTCTCTTCTATTGAGATATGATGTAAATATGAAGATTATATTGGTTCAGCTGAGTTTCTTTTGTTTCCTAGTACTCTGTGGGTCTGCATCTTCTGTATATCTTCTTTCCAAGTTTATATTTTCCCATCTCCCCTCTTCTCTGTTTGCATTATAGGACACCAGCAATGTTTACTGTCAGGTATCCCTAGGTGAAGAGAGATTGGCCCCGTGATTGCTCCCTTGGTTATATCCCTCCTGGATTTTAACATGTACATGAGCTGGCTTTGTTTGCTCAGTTTGTGGTATAGTATCCATACGTCCGGTCATGGGAGATGCTGTCAGTACCTTGACCCAGGGTCTGGGTGTTGTTAGAATCTGAAGGGGACAAAATAGGCTATGTTTTAATTGATGTTTGTACATTGAGGTCTGAAGTGGGAAGATCTCAAGGCAATAAGACATGTGCTTGAACTACTGCAATGCACTTTATATTAAATTTTCTTTGAAGATCACTCAGAAGCTTCAGCTGGCCCAGGTTTCCTTCTTATGGTTATTAGCTGGCTCTTGTCCCCATGAGCAGTTTTACACCAGTGTTTTAGATCCTGTGCTTTCTGTCAGCTTCCAGGTACAATTCAAAATGCTTGTTTTGATCTCTATAGCACTCTGGCTTGTCTCTGAGGTACCTTCAGAAATGCCTTCTTCAACTGGAAAGTAGTTCCACATTTTCACAGAATGAAGACAGCTGAAGTTTGCAGGCACTGTTTTTCTTTTTCTGTGCCTGTGCTCTGGAACTTTCTGTTTCTGAGATCAGACTCACTGCCATGTTGTTGCTCTTCCAAAAGTTATTTAAAAAATTGTTTTTTGGGGGGCTGTGAAGAATAATTTGATGCCAGTGAATATTGCTTTGTTTTTCTGTACTTAATTTGGAGTTTTATTTTTTTTATTGCTTGCCCTGGACATTTTATTTCTGTTGCCATAAATGTGATTTTCTTTAATTTTTCTATGTTATGGTTCTTAGCCATCCAGGGTTGTTATTGTATAAGATGGCCATACAATTTTTTTAGATAAAAATAATCCCATAAAGCATATGTATCAATATATATTATTTCAAACGCTTAAATGCCATAAAAATAATATAGCAATAATCACAACTAACTAAACTAATGATTCTAGTCAAGCACTCGATAAGATCAGTTGTTCTCCTTTATGCCACTTGTTTTTGTTCAGATATGATGGCCACCAATATAAATTACTTTAGGAAATCTGCTAGATAATTCTATCAAATTGTTTCAGATTCAAACACAAGAATGCCTGGAACTCTGATATAATCTATAGTAACAATATTAAAAGTCATACTTTCCCTTCCTCACTCTTTACTCAAGGGAATTAAGGCGTAGCTAGTCTGAGTTTCTTTTCTAAAGTTTTTTTATTGTCCTGGACTTAAATCATGTTTTTCTAACTGTTTCTCCAAGGTCAACTTTAAGATTTTAGAAATCAGCTACTTAGGATTTCCCATTCTTTTTTTTTTAACCCATTCCCGACCAAAAAAAAATGTATTTTTAAATTCTGTACAATCTACATATTTTGTACCTCTTTTTAAAAAATGAGTTTATTCAATGTCTTTCACAAAAGTATTGTTTCTTAATATGGAATTTAAATTCCTTTCTGTTTAATCTTCAGCCAACTACTACTTAATATGTATGTGCTCAGATTCTACACATGTACTCAGAATGAGTTCAGCTATGTTCAAGAAGGCTTATCCTGGCCAAGTGAGAATAGGGCTACAGTTTTGGTAATGTGTTAAGCATGAAAGTGCATATGGAATCCTTTTGGGGCTCAGAAGTTAAATAGAGTCTGTCCTGGCAACTACTTGGATCAGAGACTACTTTCAAGACGAAAAACATCTTGAAAGAAGACTGTGGCAAACCATTTCTGTACTGTTGCCAAGAAAATTGTGAAAACATTTCAGTGAAGTCATCAGGAGTCAAATTGGCTCATTAGGAGACTTACTTACCTAACCAAAGTGAAATAATTTGAAATTTTATTTCTGATACATGATAATAAATATCTTGAAAATTGTAACTTGAGAATTGTGGTTATTATCATTGTATTTTTAGACCTTTTTTTCTGAGCTATGAATATTGACTTTTTTTTCCTATGTTGGAGGAATGAGTATTGAGATCCAAGCCTTTGTATAGCCAAATATTTGCTGTAAATGGCAAAACTTCATACCCCTTCATTAGTAGACTCTCAGTTCTAGTGAATAGGTTCAGTGTCTGATTTCTATTGTGGCTAAACCTTGACAGGTTTTTATTTTTTGATATTCAGTCCCAAGTCCATCTCTGCACACATGTTCAATAGCTTTTGATTTTCTCCATGTCCCAAAAGTATTACTTAAAATCCATTTCCCATGGAATGACTTTGTTAATTAGTATCAACAAACTCAGAAGCATTGTGGGAGGATACCACATCAAGGTTTGTCCTGTAGTTCCAGCTTGATTGAAATTAATAAATAACGCTTCCCTTGAGCCTTTTTATACCAAAGTTGATAATCCTCATTATCAATAATATCTGATAATGAGGATTATCAGAGATGATTGTCAGGGATGAGATGTGATTGGGCTTTCTTGCCACTCTTTAACTGCAGGCTAGGGCAGCTGATAGGCCTTTTTGTTGTACCTTAGTTTGGTATGAAAGTTGCTGTTAGGTATATGCCAGTGATTTGAATGAGCAGGTTATTTCTTTGTGTGACAGGCTCAGTTGTCCCCGTCCCCCTTCTCCACCAAAGTCAGCTGAATTTCTTGGAATTTGTTGCAAGTGAGGCTATGACATTAAGGAAGCAGGACACAATTTATTTACTTGTTTTGATTGGTAATTGAGAATAGAAAAGATGGTGCTTAGATGAGAATATTTGGTTCCTCCATTGTGGAATTCTGAGGTAAAGATAGGTGGAAAATGCCATGAAATCAATACTGTCAGATATATTAATGTAGCATTTTATTTGGATATCTTAGGCTATGAAATACAATGCACATATTTTCCTTTTTCTTGTAATTTGTACAGACCATAGTTATGCTGACATGTATGTTAATTATTGCTAATTATGAGAGCTGCAGCTTTGAGTTCAGCTGTTTATTTTAGTGCTCTACCTTCTTTGAGCTGAATTTATTCTTTTCATCTTTTGATTTTTATTGAGCAGTCATTATCTGTGTTTTTCCTGATTTATCTGTGAAGCTGTGATATACGCATTAAACATTAAAAATAGTTCTTATATTAAATGGATTTTGTCAAGCTAAGGGTTTACTGTTTATTTGAGTGGATAGTTGTTTACTCCCGTTAGAATTTTACACACTTGTTAATAAGGATAGTTTAGTTGTAGGGCTGGAAAATGGTTTTGCCTATATCTATGCTGTCAATCTATATGTTAGAAAGACTTGAAACTCTTTCATTCAGCTTTGGTTCAGCTAACGTTTAATCGTCCTCTATGAAAAATTACATTTATTAAAACAAGTATTGTCAGATGCCTGTATAATGAAAATTCAACAGACAGTACTGATGCTATTCATTTTCTGCATTTACAGAGTACTTCATAAAGATAAAAAGGTACCAGTCGCTATGCAGAGTTCAGAACATAAAGAAGACAACAGCAGCTTGAAAAGTGAGAACATGGGTAAGGACACTGAAGCCAAGAATGAGCAGCCAGCTGACTTTAGCACAGAGATCATGAGTGTCATGGAGATGGAGCAGTCCCCTGATAATTCTCCTGGTGCCAATTCCCAGGAAGAGACTGTTCAGGACACTGAAATACCAGACATAGAAACTGTAAAGACTTCTGATCCTGAAAATTCATTCCCTGCTGACTTTGAAAAGTTTTGGAAAGTAGTTGAAACTAACCCACAAGATTTCACAGGTTGGGTTTACCTCCTTCAATATGTAGAACAAGAGGTAAGTAATTCTATCTTTTGTGTGTGTGTAGTGTTTTTTCCCTGGTGTCCACTACTTGAATTTATGAGTTCTAAATTTCATGGTTGTAGCCATTATGGAATCCCTGAAATTCAGGGAAGTTGTATTAGTGTTTCATGAAAGAGATAAAGAATTAAATGTACAAAATATATTGAAATTTCATACAAAAATAATTAACTTTTTTATGTTTCTGAATAATAGCTTAAAAATATAACATTTATAGAAAATAGGCTTCTTGTTGAATATGAGTGGTTGATCTGTCTTTGACTGAGAACCACAGTGTTGTAAAATGTTTTGCATGCCACCTGTAAGAAAGGTGAACTGAGAGCAAAATGAATATACAACTGAAGGCTGTTCAACTTCCAAATATTGATTTTCTTCACTTGTTCCCATCATTTCTACCAGAAGATGCCCTTAGTATATGATTTCTTTCACTCATCTGCACCATGAAGTTTTCAGCACTCTTTATCTTCTGAATATTCAACCCGGAAATTCTGGTGATAGATTCTGTGTATAGAGGGCAAGGAAAAGGGTCCAGTAGCAGCAGTTTTCTTCTCTCTTACAGGCAAAATGATGGCAGTGGCCTTAGCCCTTTCAGTCTATCAGAGAGGCCAGTGTGTAGGAAAGCTGTGGTTTGGGATGCAAAGAACTAATGGCTATGATAGCAAAGCATAGGTATATGGAAGGGCATTGGGAGTGGCAGCAGCAGTAGTAGTAGTGACAATAGCGATGTGGGTAAGGAAATCTAAAAGTGTGGAGAAGGGAAAGACCAGTAAGTGTGCATCCATTGTGTAATGGATTGTGTAATACCCTTTGTGTAATGCCCTTATGACATAAATTAACACAAATTCTTTCATAGTTATTAGACAATAAGCAATAGCAAATATTCCTTCCTTCCCAATTAATGTAATAAAGTGAGGCTTTACTGTAGCTTGGATGAACTATGTCGAATCTAGAAGAGCAATTTAAAGCCTAGCGTCTTGGTAGCAGATAATTCTCGATTAAGCTGGGCAATCCAATCAGTCCAATGTTCTTCAAAAATAAGAACAAAAATTATCTAAGTAATGGATTAGATGACTCATTAAAATAAATTTGTTTCATGTTACCTTAATTGAACCAATTAAATCTAGTAGCTGATTACCAAAGTTTCCTGCAGAGAAAACAGAATAGAAGACTAGCAATTGTGAAAATCATCTTTGTGCTCAAGTAACTGATTAAACAGCTTCTTGGTAAATTATAGAACGTTATACAGGTGCAGCCAAAAGTATTGTATTATAGTCATTTGTTTTATTATTTAGAAGAATATGTTAAGTCATACATCAAAAGCAAAGTGTCTGCTTTATGGACTTTGGAATAAAGAATGGTGGGTGCTGTTTATTTGGGTCAGTTTCAGTTTATTTCATGGCAAATTGGGGTTCTTTGGGGAAAAGTGAAGGAGTATCAATACTTTGGCTGCATCTGTAGAACTTTAAAGGAGAAAGTTGTCTCCAAGGTATACTGGGCTTTTCTTTCATTTGAATTATACTCCAATCAAGAGTATACATAGTCAAGTAGATAGCTGTTCTTTTGAATGTTATGGAGAAGTAGTAGTGTTTTGGATCTTGGGTTCTTGATCTGCAAACAGATTTTGCAGTTGCTTCCTCAAGATGTGTATTTTGATTCTATTTTTAAGGCAGATGATATACAAGTTAAGGTTTTTTTCCTCCCAATCAATCTACTGCAGAGTCTAAAACTACTAAATCCTACCCTGTGTATTTTTTCCCAGAACCATTTACCAGCTGCAAGGAAAGCCTTTGACAGTTTTTTCACTCATTACCCATATTGTTATGGCTATTGGAAGAAGTATGCAGACCTTGAGAAGCGGCACGATAACATGAAACAGTCAGATGAGGTACGTATATAGTGAATGCAGCTGTTGCTCTTGGGTTCTGTGAGCCAAATGATGACCAAACCACTGCATTGCAAGAAATTCTTTGGCTGCCAGTACCTGCCACATTCATACAGGGTTTTCTGTTTACACTTGTCACTCCTTATGGCCTTTGGAGCTAATATCTTCTCTCTTTGTTGGCAGGTGCGTTAAACCTCTACTACAGTTTGTCAAGCTTTGCAGTGCAAGCGTCTGCATTACACTGCAGCTTAACAAGTAGGGCAGGGCTTTTCTGTCACTTACATTATACATTTATTATTTCACAAAATTCAAACGCTGTGGTTGGTTTTGCTGGTCACCATTGCTACATCTTATTGCATTTTTGGTCAGACGCTGTCATTGGTGCTCTAAAGGGTCTGTGCCCTATGGTCTGTACCCCAAAGCCTGCCCACACAGCCTGGTCAGATGCAGGGACTGCCGCGCTTTGAAGATCAAGACTCCGCACGTGGAGATCAGAGCATTGCCATGTTCTAGCCAACCTCCACCCAAATGGTAATGGTAGATTATTTAAACAAAATTCCAGTACCTTAGTATTTCGTAAGGTTCACCGGATAACACAGTGTTGCCTCTCTCATATAACCTAACTAAAGGTTCAAAGGGTAGCTATTTAGTGTTCTCTTTGTAGGTGTATCGGAGAGGACTCCAGGCGATACCTCTTAGCGTTGATCTGTGGATTCATTATATCAATTTCCTCAAAGAAACTCTGGATTCCAGTGATGTAGAAACTGTTGGGACCATTAGAGGGTAAGTTGGTTGAAAAGAATCTGATATATGTATCACGGACAGTGGAATTCTACTTAGGGCTGTGGCTGGTCATATGAAAATACACCGTAGTCTTCTGCCTGAAAGAGAAATATATTGCTTCTCTGATCACAGTTGCTTGAAATTAGAATAGTCATTTACAGCAGGTTCTTCAGAAAGTAAAGATGCGTACAGTTGAAGTTTAGTTGTTTACTAGTTTACTAAAGGCCAGATTGGTCTGGTGTTCTTGATAGGGGTTGAAAAGTCTGTGCTCAGGCTTCAGAACATCTTCTAAAATTCACTTCCCTTAGATAGTGTATATACATGTGAAAAAAATCCTATGCATGATATATGTGGTTTTATTTTAAAAAAAAACATAATGTAATGGCATCAGATTACAACCCAGATCCTCGCTTGCCACTGCCATGCTGGTTGAGCCTGAAAGTAGCTGTTGCAAAATATTGAAAGGACTGAATTTGAGGAAGGCTATTTGTTGTAAGGCCATGAATTTTCCAATCACATACAATATAATACTAAATGTTGTATTCTGCTTTAAATATCTAAAAGGTATTCTGTGTTAAATTCTTAAAAATCATATCTCAGTGGCTTCATTCTTCTTTAAATGAAACATTACTAATGTGGTACATGGTATATTTTGTGCCGATGAAAAACTTCCTTGATCACGTTTACATCCTAGGACCTATGAACATGCAGTGCTTGCTGCAGGGACAGATTTCCGCTCAGACAAACTCTGGGAAATGTATATCAATTGGGAAAATGAGCAAGGCAACCTGAGAGCGGTGACTACTGTATTTGATCGTATTCTTGGAATTCCAACACAGCTATATAGCCATCACTTCCAAAGGTATAAGAATTATAATTTGTTTGGATAGTGTTCTTCTGTTGGTATAACTGTATGTTACATTTTTACAGTGCTGAAAATTCTTGTAGTCGCTAAACTACATTCAACCTTTTGCTCAGAGATGGGTTTGCAAGCTTTTGTGATTTACTCCAATCAGGAATACTGCAACGTAACTTAGTAAAAATATTTATTGTATAATAATATTGTAATTAAAGGTGATTTATAAATACCATTTCATGATAAGGATAATTTGTAAATTAAAGAAATTGTGTGCCATATTACTTACATGGTAATATAATTTGACCTACAGATCAAGTCAGGAATCCTTTCCTGGGTGTTTTTGAACTTATCTCCAGCCATATATTGCAAGATTGCAAGAACCAGATTTTACAATATTCTGTAGATTTTTCTTGAGTTGAGTCACTCTCTCGACCCAGCCCACCTCATAGGGTTGTTGTTGGGAAAATAAGAGGTAGGAGGATTAGGTTTGTTCACTGCCTTGAGTTGGCCTAAATATATAAAAGGTGGGATAAAAATCTAATAATAATAGTAATATTTAAGCAAACTAATGAGCTATGTTTTCACATATTTAAAACAGCTTAGTGCTTTGCAAAACAGCACAGTTTTACTGCTCTTACCAAAACAATTTTAAGGACAGTGAAGTTACTGTGTGCCATTAGGAATGGCAGACTTTTGAATCTTGGGTATAGGGTGTGATGCTGATTCCTAGTCCACTAGGACCACTTATGAATGTACATATGTATTTTTGTATGTCTGAGTAAATAAATGCAAACAAAATATCCCATTCTTCCAAAGAAAGAGAATAAAAGATTATCTGTTAACCTTATGTGTTTTAGTCTCCACTGGGATTCAGCTCCTAGCAGCCCACATATTGGGCAAGCTCTTGAGAAGTTGATTGCGTTGCTGAAAAGGCACACAGAGAGGTTATGCACCCATTTCTCCAGTGAGATTGCAGTGGCACTGGGAATAGATTTAGGCCCAAGGACACTTGCAGTAGGCTACATCAGAGATGTTGAAGGGTCTCAGATTGCCTGACCTGTTTTGAAGTGGTGTAGGGTGTTAAGTTGTTCTTGACTTGATAGAAGGATCTGAAGGACTGATAGAGTGTTACATCCAACTGTGTTTGTCCACCAGTAGATTGTTGAAATGGATCCCTTCGTTTTCTGAAGCACCCTTGGATTCCACCCTCCCCCAAAAAATTTCTAACAGATTTGGAGGCCGTGTTGGAAAATCAAGAGAATGAGGAAGGAAGGAATAATCCCATTATATGAATGGATATTACACTGGGTCTATCCCACAGAATCAATTCCTTTACTAATAAAACTTACATTGCATTGTATGTGACACTGTGATCACTAAATTTGCTGGCCTATTAAGGAGCATAAATGTGTTAGATTTCTAAAATGTTTCTAGGTTGTGCTGCTGGAGCCCTCCCTAACATAGTGTACTGCAATTGCCATGCCAGCTGAGGAAAATTAGAATTGCAATTCAATACACGGTGGCTTCAGCTCGGAAAAAGTTGCTGTGAAGCTGTATGCAGAGCAGAAACCAATGGTGGATTCAGTCTTGAGTAATTATAAAATACAGCCAGTGAACTTCTGTTTAGTGTTTTATGTTTGGAAGATTAACATTTTTTCTTTATCCATTTTATAACTGCATTTTATATTCTTGGGATTCTAAGGCATTCATGTTAAACTAGTGGCTTCTGCTAACTTGTCTGCAATTAAAAAGACCTAACAAGTCCAGCTACTTCATTGTGTAGTTCAGGTAGAAGAAATAAACCCTTTCAATCTGGAAGATGCAAAGTCATATACTTCCATAGATTAAAAAAATTGGAATTGAATGATGATGTTTTCAGAACTGTTTCACTGAGATGTAAGTTTGACTTGGTTTATATTTCTCTAGCTGTTCATAACTCTGCACGTGCTTCAGTAGTATATGTAGTAAGCTTGGAATAGCTAGTAGTTCACCCTGACCTCTGTATTATGTAGTAGTGAACATAAAATAATAAGACTTTCTGCTCTTTGCTTTTGTTGATATGTTACAGGTTCAAAGAGCATGTCCAGAATAATCTGCCTCGGGACCTTCTTACTACCGAACAATTTATTCAGCTGCGTAGAGAACTTGCTTCTGCTGCTAACAGTCATAATGGGGAGGATGAACCCCCTGGGGATAACCAACCTTCTGGAATTGAAGATATTACTGACCCTGCTAAAGTAAGCAATCAGCATTTTTGAACAAGTGTGCAGTTTGTAATGTACAGTAGCCAATTCCTCGGGTGCTAGCAGTTTTGTATCATTTAGTCAGCTGTTTGCAAGGAAAATAACATTCTTGGAAGCATTTTGATTGAAAGTGGTATACTGAATAAGCTACAAGTGATTGGGTTTCCAAAAATGTAAAGCCATAAACCATGGTTTACCAGTATAGCAGCACACTAAGACCCAAATGAAAGAAACCACATTTTGTTTAGTATGGTCTAGCCACAGACAAATGGTCTAGCACAATACTGTCAAGTGACTGGTGATCATTCTTCAGGATTCTTAAGAGTCCATTGAGTTGTATTTTCCATTCTACGTGTGGTCAGGTATTTTCTTTTGATAAACAAAGGCTGTGGGAGTTGAAAGTCATTGTTAGTTTTAGGGTTTTTATTCATCTTAAACTGGAATATGTACCAGCAATCCTATTGAAACCCATCATATTTCACAGTCCCACTAGCATAGATTGTTTTCATTCTCATCCAGAGTAGGTACTTGTTTCAGAAAGTCTAATAAAAATGTCTCCCTGCCTGACTTGTGTTAACACTTCCAATGTTTGATTTAGCTAATCACTGAAATAGAAAACATGCGTCACAGAATCATTGAGATTCATCAAGAAATGTTCAATCACAATGAGCATGAAGTCAGCAAGCGGTGGACTTTTGAAGAAGGGGTAAGTTCATTTGAATAATCTTGTCAAAGTTGAGGGTAACAGCCTCCCTCTAGAAATTAGGCTGGCCCCCTTGCTGATGGCTTTGTAGAAGCTTTTAAAGACTTAAGCTTTTCCAGAGGGCTTTTGGGGAATGGTTGTGGTTGCTGGTACATGGATGATTATTGTTTCTTATTAGATACTATAATGATGATTATTTTGTTACAATGTTTTATTCTTTGGAATTTTTCTTACTGCATAATAGAATGTAATAAGGTGCTGTGAGGCATGAAAATTTGATGGCATGCAAATTTGAGAATAAATGTTTTCACGATTAAGACATTTCAATTTTCTAACTGTTTTGTTGTGCTGTACAGTTGATGGGACATTGCCTTGGCTCTTCCGTTTGCTTGATACATGGTAGCACATTGACATTTTTTAAAAAGGAAGCTGCCAGCTGCATGTTTGTGGTTTTACAAAACAATATTTGACCATTGCTAATTAACAAACATGTCAACTGTAGTGAAAACATTGAATGGGTTTTTGTTTAGCTAAATTAGAATGTACGTAGGCATTTCATTTTGTAGTTTAAATGGCATTTGAAATGGGCCATGGGGGAAAAATAAATAAAACCTGCCTTCATTTTGCAAAGTTAAGAGGTTGTAAGCAGGATCATAAATACATGCTGTCTCCTTATACCCATTTCCTTCTCAGTATTTAAGGAAACATACATTATGAATCTGCCAAATTTTCATAAGTAGCCTTAGTTTAGACCAATCTTTCAGTCTTTAAACCATGCAAATGCACCTGTAGTAGGAGTACCAGAATTCCTAGCAAAATGGCCTATAGCATAGACCTAAAATATATGGGGGTAGAGTTATCAGACAGGGACAGCTTTCTACTGATAAGAACTATAGTAAGAAAAATTAGAAATCTGTTCCTCACATATGGGAGCCCTTTCCTTACATCCTCATCGATCGATTTGAACATTTTAAAATTTCAGCACATGCTGGTCATCTGTTTTCCAGTGCTAGAGAAGTCTAAAATGCTCTGATTTTAGGGTCAATTCAAGGGTTTTCTTTGATTAAGGATTGGTCTTTGCTGGGAGAGCATACATCTTATCTCATTTTCTGCTGTTGATAATTTTATGTTTTCATATGTGACTATAACAACAAAGGCCCCCAGTGTGGTTTTTCTCCCTTAAAATGCTGTCCACCATACAATGTATTGGAGATAATTTCAGACAGGAATAGGGTCCCTGGGCATCCCTAGCACTAGCTTTTTGCCGAGGGCATCATGTCTGCAGCTTCTTGCATAAATGTTGCTTGATGACATGATACTTGGAATTTCAACTTGAAGTTTCAGTTAAATGGGATCCATTGCAGCCTGACAGGTCACTCAAAATGGGTGAGTCAGAGCAAGTAAATACT